TGAGACACATTGTTTCAGATTATCAGACACTGAGACACATTGTTTCAGATTATCAGACACTGAGACACATTGTTTCAGATTATCAGACACTGAGACACATTGTTTCAGATTATCAGACACTGAGACGCACTGTTTCAAAATGCTGAAGAACAGTGAATTCTAAGTATCACAAGAGAATTAATCATACCTTTGTTTTTTAGGAACTCTACCCACTGACACCTGACTGGTGGTAGGAAATTGAGAAGTAGCTGTAAAAAAAACAACAAGTTTTAAAAAAATCTGGATTAATACTTAAATTAAAAAGAAAAAAGTTGAATTCCACTGGTCCTTTTGATCGCAACTCGGACACGATGTTCCTCTTTCTTTAAAGTTAAACCTAATTTATGAATTTAAAATATAAACCTTAATCCATTGACTGCTGATTTACTGTATAGGGGTACGGTCCGCCTCCGACAGTTGAATCCGGGTGTGATCTTTACGATGAATAACTTGCAAAATTCCATGCTTGTTTATCGGTCAGCCACAGTCCACGAGTTTAGCTTGCTTAACTTTTATACATTTCTTTGATTTGTCTTCAAAATAGTTCATAAGTTCTGTTTGTAAGTTTAAAAACCTGCATTGACTGAAAAAACTGAGAACAAATACATGAGCTAGTATTGTGTAAAACCTGAGAACAAATACTTGAATAGCTATAATGTAAAACCTGAGAACAAATACCTGAGCTGGTACAGTGTAAAAACAGTGAATAAATACTTAAACTGGTATAGTGTAAAACCTGAGAACAAATACTTGAACTGGTACAGTGTAAAACCTGAGAACAAATACTGAACAAGTATTGTGTAAAACCGGAGAACAAATACTTGAGCTGGTATAGTGTAAAAACTGAGAACAAATACTTGAGCTGGTATAGTATAAACCTGATAACAAATACTTGAACTGGTATAGTGTAAAAACTGAGAACAATCACTTGAGCTGGTATAGTGTAAAACCTGAGAACAAATACTTGAATAGCTATAGTGTAAAAACTGAGAACAAATACTTGAATAGCTATAGTGTAAAACCTGAGAACAAATACTTGAATAGCTATAGTGTAAAACCTGAGAACAAATACTTGAATAGCTATAGTGTAAAAACTGAGAACAAATACTTGAATAGCTATAGTGTAAAACCTGAGAACAAATACTTGAATAGCTATAGTGTAAAAACCTGAGAACAAATACTTGAATAGCTATAGTGTAA